CTAACAGTCCTGAATGTATCTTTTTTTAAAAGCAAGTAAAACAAATTGCATTTTAATTAATCCAAAATATTTGCACATTGCCTAAGCGGAATCTTTCACTAATTCCTTAATTGCTTCAACATTCATACATTGATAGTTTCACTGAAACTGATAGACCTTCACATTCCGTTCCCCAAAAGAAGTCACATCTTCTGAAAGAAAATGTTTCCTTTTTCTAAACAGTTTCTATGGAACAATACTCTTTTCCAGATTCATTAATCATAGAAATGGGACTCATTTAATTATAGCTACTTAGACATTACATAGCACTGTATAATATCCTTACAGATGTGATCAGAAATTTCCTGGTTAATTATCCACTTATCAGAAACCATAATTTTATGTCAAAAATTAAAATTTTCCCTACCAAGATATCAAAGATCGTAGGTGACCAAACAGCAGTTTTATCTCCCTGAAACAAACTTCTTGCTCTGAAGCTCATGTATCAGCCTGCGTAAGTGTTGGATTGCAACACGACGCCTCGTGCCTGTATTTTTTCTATAAAGGGGTGGCTCCAGGCTGAGGACTCTGTCTCCTCAGTTCTGCTGGATTTATTTGAATTATGGGTTGGGCTGTAGGGAGAGGTGTCAGGATCGTGGTGTCAGAAGATACACGGCCTAGCAGAAATTCTCAGAGGGGGTCAGGAAAATCTAACCACCAGAGAAACTTGTGGGTATGCAGCTTAACAGTCGACTTGTATATAACGAAACATATTGACATTTCTCAAACAAGTCCTAAGAATATTTGAATTCTGCAAGGATCTCTAGTATGTCACTGCCTTTATAAGTTTTTTGTTCTTCTGTGTTCTTTGAACGTTTTTAGCTAGATCAATATTTTTTCAGTGTGAAAACATGATAGAAATTCATTATATTATTTTTCCACAAGTCTTTTGTAAGATATTGCTCTAAAGACTGATTGCGTAATTTGCAGTTGCATGGTAAATACTCATTACTCACATATTCATGTTCATTAATAAATTGTACTCCTCCTCATTTTTATTTGCTTGGAGATGGAGACTATTTGAATAGCAAATCACACCTATTGATTAAGTAGTATAAATAAGATGAAATAATCATATATTACAAGTTTATCCTTATATCAGTGATTTGACTGCAGCATACTTTGGAAGGAAGTTCCCAGTAAGTCCAGCACCAAAGATTTAACATAACCCAGCGGCTTGGAAGAATACTGGTATACTGGTATATTCAAATGTTAGGATAAACTGGTAACAATTTAAGAAAAGAGAACAAGAGAGAATAGACTACCTCTTGCTTGAGATCTTTAAATCAAGATAGTAAAGGGGGGAAGATTCCACATATATATTTTCTGGAAGTCTTTAACTTAATGAAGAATTTATTGGGAACATTTTATAACTGGTGTTCTACAAAAAGTGAGATTTTGAAACAAATACTATGGGATCATTTGTTCTATGAATTCATAAAGCACACAGTTGGTTTTTTTTTTTTAGTTTGGACATATCAATAAGATTTGAGAAGTCTTACAGTCCTAGGGAACTAATGAATTCAGCATCAGAATATAGCATATTTTTTTTAAAGTTTAGGTTCTGAAACAATTGGCCCAGGGTGCATTTCCTATAATTGATGAAAAGTATTTTCCAATGGTTGCATGAAGTAGTTCACGGAAATATGTAGTTGGTCCCTGCCTTAACAGGCTTATGTTAAAATTTTCTTGAAATAATTCTTCAAAGATTTCTGTGTATTAGACAGTATACTGCAGAACACACAAAGTCATTAAATCATTGCCTATCACATGAATTCATTAATTCGCTTCCTTCAGTGATGTAAACATATTAATTGGGAAAAAGCCCACACCAGGAGATGAACCCCTGATCTATATGCAAAGTTTAATAATCATTGTACCATGGTGATTAGACTGATTATGGGGATACTGTGAAGAATTCATTTGCGGCAACTAAGCCAACAACTTTGCATTTGTTTTGAAAAACAATTATAGAGCTTAATTGGGAGCCATGTAATGATGACAGCAGTTATTTCAGTGATTGATTCTGAAATTAAAGAGAACTGGCAAACTAAATACCAGAATATCCTATATTAGAAAATCAAAAGGTTTAGACAGCATGTACCATATGTAAATCCTGAAATACGGCAAAATCCTAACGCTGATACAGACTACTGCTTCGTAGAACAGGCTCATGGATGGGCGCCAGCTAAGATTTTGCTCATCTTTGGGGGGGGGGGGGGGGGGGGGGGGGGAGAGGGGGAGGAGAAAAAAAGCTAAATTATTCCAAAACAACAGCAAAAACCTAGACTAACTAAAGCAAAACATAAAAAAGGAATAGAGCAGAGGTACAGAAAGGTCAAAAATCAGCTACAATTGGTAGGAAGAATTACTGATTGTCCACTGCTGCGTCTAAATTCCTTAATGTTGACGCATTCATGAAAAAGGAGGCAGTGATTGGCAGCCCCAGATAAATTATTTAATGTTACTAGAATTTGTTTACAGAATCCAATTGATTTCATATTTTAATCAGTCATTACTCACCTTTAAAAACAACAAGGGCCCACCTGAAAGGTCAGGATCCTTGCTTCCTCTGTACGTATTTGTCAAGATTTCCCTTGGAACAAAGAATTGCATTTCACAGTTTGAAAAATCTTCTTCCAAAGGAACAACTACCTGTGCAGTCTGATTGTGTAGAGAAAGGTCTGTGGGTGATAGAAGTAAAGCATTGTGCTGTATATCCAGGTCAGATCTTCCAGGAATATAGTTATGGTGCAAGTCTGCTTCAATTTGTTAACTGTGGAAACTACCATCACTGTCAGTAAACGCGGTCTTTGCGTCCTAGGAGGGGTAGACATCATGCCCACGTAGGTCAGCAGAAATGATCCAGGCTGAAGAAATGGTTGCGGTATAAAATTAGGGGAAGTAAATACGTGGTTATGTAGTTTTCGGACTGCTGACAACCTAAAGTGTGGCATTAACAAGCCCAAAGCTTGCAGACCTCAGTGACAGAGGTCCTTTATTCTTCCTTTTTACCTCATGTGGACAATGAAAATTCAACCCTTATGTGACTAACCGTAAAGCCACAAGATTTCCCTTCTTAAAACATATAATATTTATTTTCTTTGAAATATAAATTTTATTTTGACATTTGTAAATAGCTGTGTAATGTTGCAGACACAATCCATTTTCTACTTAGTGGACTAACAGGGACAAATCACATTTTCAAATAGCAGCATTCTCATCATTAAATTATCAGTCAAACTTGCTGTATAAAAACTTCTCTCTCTGCTTTCATCTGTCCTCTGAAGTGTAATCCTTCCTGATCTGTATCTCCACATCATGTTTGTAACCAAATTTATGACATCATTTGCAAGGACTGTAAAGCATGTTCAGGTACCTTTTATATTATAAAAAATAAGGTAGCTGTAGTCGAGGCATATAGCATACTCGCAATTGGATGGATAACTTAGTTTGTATGAATAAGTTATAATTACTTTTTGTAGACATTTGGATGAACACTGGTGACTAGCATAAAAGCAGTAAAGATTTTTCAAAGAGCAGAATTATTGATATCATTAAGATTGATATAAGAAGCAGTCTTGTGTGAAAAATGATATAATTTTGTGATATTTAACTACATTTTTATCATTACAGGTATGCTACAGCACACTATTTAAGATAAATATGAATAGGCTCTGTAAATTATAAGCATAATTTGATTTTTTTCCCCTCAAAGGTGGAAGCAAAATGGCACAGATATTGATCTTACCATGAGTTATCACTACAGGTTGGTTGGAGGCAGCTTGGCAATCAATAACCCACATAAAAAACAGGATATTGGAACATACCAATGTTTGGCCACAAATTCATTTGGAACAATTCTGAGCAGGAAGGCAAAGCTTCAATTTGCATGTAAGTTGGGAAGATCATATTTATTAGAGCATTATTTTCCGATTAATTCTGCACATGAACTGTAATTTATTGGATAATTAAAGCAACATCGGTGATTCTGTTCAAAAGGTTTGGCTTACTTCAGCAGTGCTTATTCTTAAAAAAAAAAAATCATTCCTAGTAAATATTAATAACAAAAACAGACATCTGATGGCTGCTAGCCCTCAGGAACAAGAATAACTTTCAGAAAATTGAAAGGTCAAGGAAGATGAGTGCAATTTTCACTTAATAAAGGTGTTCCCACTTTTTAAGGCGGTGCTTTCTTTGCTATATTGCAGGCAGTTACTATTGGGGAGGGGGGGAAATGTTGCAAAGAGTTAGGCTTTCTATTTTCTGTAGCATGATGATGTCTAACTGAGCCATAAAAACATTGTGCCCCTAATTGCCGTACTGATATTTTGTTACATTAACAAAGTAAGAAGCACTCTTCTTCCTTGCACGGTGTGCAAAACGGTGAGCTACGCTCTGAATGTTTCATATTTCAGCTCGATTGGGTAGAGCACGTATGCTGTCTTGAGAGGATTTTAAATTTATTTTAGGCTTGCTCCCCATTTCACTTCTTCACAATCTTTTTCACAACGTTTATATGTGGTGACTGAGTTCTGTTAATGCCCTGGAGGGGTGGGGTGGGGAGAACAACAGCGACAACAAAAAAACCCCAGATATTACCTCCATTCCTTTTTCTTCAATATAAAGGTCTGAACTGTCGGTTGCTCAGAGAAAGCAATTGTTTTCAAACCTCATTAATAAAACATGTGTCTAAAGCCAGCCTTGTGTCGCTATTTCAGACACCAGCAAACGTATTAATTATTAATCTTGTTCCATTTCTCATAGCAAATCTCATGTCGCAGGGGTTATACAAAGGAGACATTAGAGGTCAGGATGGTTCACAGACTCTCTTTTAGTAGACCTGATCAAACGGTATATCGCTAGTATATCATTTAATAATATTTTACCCCGAATTTCTCAAAGAGCTTTTGATTCCCAAGAGCTGGTCAAATGGAAGCAAAAATTTTGATTCATTATTTTCCCACTTTTTCTGAAACACCTGTGCAAGCAAGCCTTCCTCTATGGGAAATTGTTTCAAGATCTGGGGATGAAAATTGTTTAGTGACAGAACAAATCCCATTTTAGAAAAAAGTAAGAATAGATGGCCTCCTCAAATTTTTCTATGGGATCTGTAATCCCCAAGGAAATAGGATAGGCCAGGAATGGAGCTGGGAAAAGACCTAAAGAAAAGGAATATGAAGGCAGAAAAGAGGTATAAAAAATAAAAAAGTGGTGGAAAAAAGGAAAACCAGGAATATTTATGTCTTTCTTTAAGCAAGCTCTAGTGATTGTTCAGCATATTTTATTACTCAACAATTTCATCTTTTCTAGAAAATTCCATCCCTGATTCAAATTCCTGGAAGCACTTTTTTTTTTTCCTGTTCACTGCTCTCCCAGCCCATAGGGAATCACTGGCTTGGTGCGCCAGCTCTTGGGGTATAGAAACAGCTCTTCCGGCAAGTGTTCCTTTGCAAAATATTTAATTGCACTTCATTCCTATGGTTTTCTATGTTTGCTTTTACCTATTGCCATTGCGTAACCGTGCGTTAGGACCAAAGCTAGCTCTGGAAAATGGTCTTGTTTTAACTCTTTGCAAGGAGAAGGGTTTGGAGAAAGCTGAAAGAGTGAAAGAAGGGAAAGAAAGCTTATGGGGAAAGCCTCACTGGTAAAGAAGAGAAAGGAGAAAATTCCTTTCTCAGGACACTGGTCCATGTTTGTCCCTACATTCACAAATGCATCCCTGATAGTCCTTAGGGGAATGAAAGATGCTGGTTGGCACAGAAGTGTCTTATCTTCAGGCTCCTGTTGGAAACGTGATCTTTTGGAAGTTTTCCCTAGTAGAAAAGAGAAACTGTACACCACAATGCACAGTTTTCTTTATGAGACTAAGTTTTCTAAGGATCTAAACATGGGGGTGTGCACCTTCCCACGGAGGGCAAGGTGGCTCTGCAGAGCCCTCTTGCAATTCCCCCACTCCTGGTGCAGCTGCAGGCCAGGGGTCTGCAGACTTGCAAACCTGAAAGAAATCACGTGTGATTTCTGGCCTGGCTGAGGCAAAGCACATCTCAGTGCGATGCAGCTGATGCCACTTAGCAGCTGGAGGACCTGGTGGCCAGAAAATGGACTTTGTCAATGGCATTAAGTATTTTCAGCTGTTAAACACTAGTTCTTTAATACTCTGTGCTGGTGAAGCATTCCCTCTGAAGCACTTAACTCACTAATAGCTTGAAGTCTCATGCCAATATATGACAATCAAAATGGGCTATAAATCAAGCAGTTCCTTGACTTAGGCTTCGTACCCCTACCAAGGCACTTCCCAAAGTTACTGCAGGGAGCAGGTCACAACAAAGTTGGGTCTCATTTGTCCACAGCAGCAAACCCACAGCTACCATCCTGCTTTAACCCTCCAGTTCTTAACAGCACCCATGTAATGGTAAATATATCCCACATTCAAGCAGCGCACTACTTTTTCATTAATGGTGACAGATGTTTACATCCTTTTCCATATAAAAGAGAGAGGACAGACAAATTGAAGGTTGTCATTTACATTGGTGAACACAAACATACAGGAAAATGCTTCAATTTAGCAGCATCACTGTGAAACTATGAGTTTTAACTTGTCTTACACTAGAAAAAAAAACCACAGTACATGGAAAATGTTATAATGACCTGAAGAGAATAGTAGAACAAGTTACCTTGAAACAGTTATTTCACAGTTAACATTTTCTTATTTCTTATTTTCATGTTGCCATCCAATTTACTACTTTGTTTCAACCAATATTTCAGGCTATATCTTAAAATCCAGGCAGGCAGGCATGTTGATGTTATGACACTTTCATTCAATACCTAACAAAATGGGGCTCTTCCCTGAATCGGGCTGCCTGGCATATTATTGCAATCACCATGATAAATTATTGAATCAAGCCTATTATCCAAGTAACAGGGTTTATGCGTATTTCTCTTTTTACTACAAGGTAACTAACTCTGAGTTTGAATTAACAATACCTCTGGAAACCTATTGTACATCTCAACTTAATATGTGAAAAATACTTTTTCCCTCTGTTCAAGATAGTGAGCTCTCTGAGTAGCAAAATAAATGCGGTATGAGATTAGAAATATGTCTTCAGATTCAGCTGGAGTTTCATGCTTATCCTCTATTAAAAACAGAGCTGTCAAATGAAAGCTGCAGGAGGAATATTGTACAGAAGAAAGTGGCATAGATTATTAAAGCTACAAGCTGGAAATGAGAGACAGCGTCAGTGAGAGAAAGCAGAGCAAGAGCACATAAATGCATTAGCGGGATACGTAGGGTGGCAGTCCTGTGTTACTCGTGCTTCCTGGCTAAGGCTTCTTTTGTCATAAATAAAGTTGAAAGCTCCCTATAAGTCCAGGGCATCTCTTGCTACCCAGCAAGCAGTACATTTTGAAAAGCAAACGTGTGTTTTGCAAGAGCTGGAGCTGTTGATCTGGCTGTTCAGCCTGGTTAAAAAGCGTTGGGGTCAGATCCCAGCCTGCGTAGCCAGCGCCTCTCACAGACGCAGGGGTCCTCACGCAGATTTGAGTTTTGAGCTTCGCTCCCGAGTCACAACCTGCCACCCACGCGGTACCTTCCCCCCTCCAAATTCAGTATTAACATCCAAGACAAGGCCACCAGGAACACTTCAGCTCTACGTAAAGGGAAGGTCAAAGACAACTCTGTGGGGAGTTCATCTTTGTGAGCTATGCAAGAGAGCTCGAAGAAAGAGACGGTGACATGGAAGGTTGTCCTTCAGGTTTTACACAACCTAGCTTCCAAACTGAAATGGAGATTCTTGGGCTCAAGCTTCCCAGCTGTCACAGGCTGTGCTTCTCCTGCGTGCCCATCGGAGCAGACACCTCTGATGAAGCGGCTGCCCTGAGCCCCGCCACCGGCAGAGCCACCTCCCGAAGCCACCGCAGAGCCTGACCAGGCACAAACACAGCAGCTATCACTTCTGAGCCAGAGACAGAAATAGCAGGATGACAGTCGTGTTCAAAACTCACAAAATAAAAAAAATATATCCATGTTTAAAGAAGTATTTTGATCACTACAACTGGAGTTTCTCCTACTCTGTGGTGCCAAGACGCATTTATATGCATATTAATGCAGTGTTTTGCAAAAATCTATTTTTATTAATGAAGAGCATCTAAATTGCATTTCAGGCCTTAAAAAAGACAAACAAAAAACCCTGTTATAGCAAACTGCTTAAATATGGCTTCAACCAGAACTCTATCCCAAGGAACACAGGGGAATTGTTTTAATTATTTCATCAGTTTTAAGTAAAAGTAACTGTGTGCAAACAACCGGTCTTGAGGGAAATCCCCATAACTAGCTGCAGTAAAACAGTCTGTCCAGGCCTGTTACTAATTCTTTTTGTTCTTATACATATCTATAACAGAGACATTAACAGATCTGCGGGAGAAACAAGAAGCGCAATTAAACAAACTAGAAAAAAAAAAAGTATTCCACCATGAAAAAGAATCATGTGTGAACCTAATTCATAACGATCCAGGGCATAAACCCAGAAAATACAGTATTAATTGAAAACATCTTGTTGCCTAGGGATCTTAAACGAGATTCTCAGTCAAATTGTTCTACCATCGCTGATAGACAGTTGTGATGATTGCGGCTTTCTCAGACCTCAGGCCCCCATTATTAATCATGAATTCGGAGAAACAATGACAACAATTTAAATTCATGAACAGGATTAGTCATTTTGTCCCGAACCACACAGGAGGGCACGCAGTGGAGACATTAGACCATGTATTTAAAAGTTTCCCCCAGTGCTACTGACCAAGGAGGGATTTTTCCCTGGCATTTTTGGGCTGCAACCATATTCTCACGTTTTTCAAAGGGGTGCTCAGGGGTTTTGCTTGGTGATTATTCTCAGTAG